TATCAAGAAAACTGAAACAAACTGAAAATATGTGTCTGATATTCTGGGTTCTTCAAAGTAAGTAGCCTCCTTTAGCTCGGCTCACTCTTTCATTCTCTTGATGAGCTTCAGAGGCCGTCGCCTGGAATGGTTTCCAGCAGGAGTTCCCAGAGATGCTGAGCGCCTGTTGGTCCTTTGCCTCCACTCTGTGGTCCAGCTCACCCCAAACCATCTGGACTGGGTTCAGGTCTGGTGATGGTGGAGAACAGGTCATCTGGGGCAGCATCCCATCACTCTCCTTCATGGTCATATAGCTCTTCCACAGCCTGCAGGTCTGTTTGGGCTCATTGTGCTGTTGAAAAATCCAACTAAACCCAAACCGGATGGACTAGCATGGCGCTGCAGGATGCTGTGGCAGCCATGCTGGTTCAGTATGCCTTTAATTTTGAATAAATCCCCAACAGTGTGACCATCAAAGCTTCCCCACACCATCACACCTCCTCCTCCATGCTTCGCTGTGGGAACCAGGCATGTAGAGTCGATCATTTCACCTTTTCTGCGTTGCACAAAGACACAATGGTTGGAACCAAAGATCTCCAATCTGGACTCATCAGATTTCCTCTGGTCGAATGTCCGTTCCTGGTCTTCTTTAGCCAAAGCTAGTCTCTCTGCTTGTTGCCTTAGCAGCGGTTTCCTAGCAGCTCTTCTACCATGAAGGCCTGATTGATAGAGTCTCCTCCTAACAGATGATCTAGATGTTTCTGCTGCTAGAACTCTGTGTTTCATTGACCTGCTCTCTAATCTGAGCTGCTGTTAACCTGTCATTTCTGAGGCTGGTGACTCGGTTGAACTTCTCCTCCGCAGCAGAGGTGACTCCTGCTCTTCCTTTCCTGGGGCGCTCCTCATGTCAGCCAGTTTCTTCGTAGCGTTTGATGGTTTTTGCGACGGCACTTGGGAACACTTTCAAAGTTTTACCAATTTTTCAGACTGACTGACCTTCATTTCTTAAAGTAGTGATGGCCGCTCATTTTTTTTTACTTAGCCGCTTATTTCTCGCCATAATCTAAATTCTAACAGTCTATTCAGTTGGACTATCAGCTGACTATCACACCTGATGGTCCCAACCCCCATTTATAAGGCAGGAAGTCCCACCTATTAAGCCTGCCAGGCGACACCTGTGAAGTAAAACCATTTCAGGCGACGGCCTCTGGAAGCTCATCAAGAGAATGAAAGAGTGAGCGAAGCTAAAGGAGGCTACTTTGAAGAACCTAGAATATATTTTTAGTTATTTCACAGTTTTAGTGTTAAGTATATAATTCCACATGTTAAGTCATTCATAGTTTTGATGCCTTCAGTGTGAATCTACAGAAGAAAGAAACTCTTTGAATGAGAAGGTCCAAACTTTTGGTCTGTACTGTATATATTTATGGAAGTCATGGGTAGTTGTTGATGGCATTAAAATAATTTAAGCATTAAATTGAAGATGATCATTCCCGTATAAACCCTGTAATGATATTAGAAATGAAATCTCGATGGGATTTTTCCAAGAAGACGAGGCGGCTTCTTTTATATCTCAGTGTTTCTGTTTTGGTTTCTGTTGCTTTTGGTCCATTTTCTTTCCCAGTAACGGTGCCCTCTGCGGCCCTCCCTCCCCTCTCAATCTGTTGGTTCGTAACGGCACGCGTCTGTAAACACTGGTTATAAAATCCCAACAGCGTCAGAAATGTCCCCCTCAGGAGGGAGGTGGAAAATGTTCCTCGCTCTGTTCTGTTTTGTTGGACATGTTTGTGGAGCAAAGGTTTTCTTTCTGAGAAGTATGACTGAGCAGCCGTGCCTCGCCTTCCTGATGTGACCTTTGTGATGCATTTCAGAGTTTACCAATGACGGAGTGTGTGTGCTGAGCTGGAGGCAACAGTGTGGCAGAGCTAGAATGTGATCAGGTGGCCTTGGATGTTTATTCACGTTTATTCAGTGTNAATTGAAGATGATCATTCCCGTATAAACCCTGTAATGATATTAGAAATGAAATCTCGATGGGATTTTTCCAAGAAGACGAGGCGGCTTCTTTTATATCTCAGTGTTTCTGTTTTGGTTTCTGTTGCTTTTGGTCCATTTTCTTTCCCAGTAACGGTGCCCTCTGCGGCCCTCCCTCCCCTCTCAATCTGTTGGTTCGTAACGGCACGCGTCTGTAAACACTGGTTATAAAATCCCAACAGCGTCAGAAATGTCCCCCTCAGGAGGGAGGTGGAAAATGTTCCTCGCTCTGTTCTGTTTTGTTGGACATGTTTGTGGAGCAAAGGTTTTCTTTCTGAGAAGTATGACTGAGCAGCCGTGCCTCGCCTTCCTGATGTGACCTTTGTGATGCATTTCAGAGTTTACCAATGACGGAGTGTGTGTGCTGAGCTGGAGGCAACAGTGTGGCAGAGCTAGAATGTGATCAGGTGGCCTTGGATGTTTATTCACGTTTATTCAGTGTCCTCCTATGACTGAAATCCTGATGTCAGTTTGTTTAAACACCGAAAGTTTAAAGACAATAATTATTACCATGAACCTGAGATTAAAACACACAGCAGGGTAAGAAGTGACGCTTTCCTCTGCAGGGATTTACAGAAAATGTTCTAAAGAAAGGGAAATAGATTGTTGAGTATTTGGATTGAGGAGATCAGATATTCACTTTGAATTCATTCAATTCTATGCAGTTTATTTCTATAGCTCCAATTCACATCATGTCATCTCAGGTCACTTTCCAGTTCACCAGATCATCCAGTCAGATTGATTCAAAATTTTCTA